GTCCAGTCATTGGCCTGGGCAGGTGGCCCTTCCTCCTCTTCTTGTTGATTTTGCATCTCTCCTGGAACTGTTTGACCATGGGTTAGCATGCCCTGGAAGTGATGAAGTCTGGACTCGATGGCCCTTGCAACCCCTTAGGACCCTTCAGTGGTGACCTTGGTCCAGTCATTGGCCTGGGCAGGTGGCCCTTCCTCCTCTTCTTGTTGATTTTGCAACTCTCCTGGAACTGTTTGACCATGGGTTAGCGTGCCCTGGAAGTGATGAAGTCTGGACTAGATGGCCCTTGCAACCCCTTAGGACCCTTCAGTGGTGACCTTGGTCCAGTCAGTGGCCTGGGCAGGTGGCCCTTCCTCCTCTTCTTGTTGATTTTGCAACTCTCCTGGAACTGTTTGACCATGGGTTAGCYTGCRCTGGAAGTGATGAAGTCTGGACTAGATGGCRCTTGCAHCCCCTTAYGACCRMMCAGTYGTGACCTTGGTCCAGTCATTGGCCTGGGCAGGTGGCCCTTCCTCCTCTTCTTGTTGATTTTGCAACTCTCTTCTCTCTTATTCTCTCTCGGCGTGTGCAGCTGTCAAGGTGATTTATACAGGGCTGCTTTCCAGGCCGACTCTTCCAGCTTGCAGAATTAATGGTATTTGCATAAACTTTTTTTTCAAAGTTGGAATCTACCCCAGAAGGCAGTGGTGGAGCCCCCTGCTTCCCTTCCTTGTGCAAGACCCCCCTCTCCCCTCACCCCCCTCCCAAAAACCAGGGCTGATTTAGCTGCGGAGGTGAAAAGTTTAAACAGTAAAACCAATAAAACCACATTTATGTGACAGATAAATCGCCTTGCGTTGTGGAGAGTTCTGGTGGGAGGGCTTCCTGGCTTTGCAAAGGCAGGCCCCCTCTCCCCCTTCCTTGCAAAGAGGAGGAAGACGGGAGGCATCCCCAGCCAGGCCGGGCCTGTCCACAAGATGGATCGGGATACGGCGGCTGTAAAACACACACAGGCCATCCATCACGGCTTCTCTCCTTGGGTCCGCACGGAGGAAGAGGCGCCACTGCTGCAAGGAGGAGGAGGAAGAGGAGGAGGAGGAAAATGAGGTGGAGGAGGAAGAACAGGAAAGGAGGAGGAAGAAGAGAAAAAGGGGGAGAGTAGCTATGCACATCTGTGTGTCCATGCTGTGTCCCCAAAGGGAGGGGACCCAGGGGCCAAAGGAAAAGGTGGGTGCACCCTCACCTGGAAGAAGGTACAAATAAGACTCACACTGGGTTGTGGGTTTTTCGGGCTGCATGACCATGTTCTAGAACAGTGGTTCTCAACCTGGGGTCCCCAGATGTTTTTGGCCTTCAACTCCCAGAAATCCTAACAGCTGGTAAACTGGCAGGGATTTCTGGGAGTTGTAGGTCAAAAACATCTGGGGACCCCAGGTTGAGAACCACTGTTCTAGAAGCATTCTCTACTGACGTTTCACCTGCATCTATGGCAAGCATCCTCCGAAGTTGTGTGGACCTCGCAACCTCTGAGGATGCCTGCCATAGATGCAGGCGAAACGTCAGTAGAGAATGCTTCTAGAACATGACCATGCAGCCCGAAAAACCTACAACAACCTAGTGATCCTGGCCATGAAAGCCTTCGACAATGCATTAAGATTCGCACTGTTCCAAAATGACAAAACGAAGGCCATCGTATTCCAGACATCTCATCCCTGGAAACAAGTGGCCCTATTGGGAATCCTACTGTAAGGCTCAAAAATAACCCTCACTTGGGGTGATTCCACCAAAAATATGGCATAAATAAATAAATATACCAGAGTGCCAGAAGCACACTTCATAACCAGCAAAAACTTACGTGTGATGAGTCAGGATTAGCTTCCATTCAATAGGATGGCCCAGGATTGCAGAGTCACAATTTTAGGTTCAAAATATTTATTGAAGTAAAAAAGAAATCCATTCTAGATAGAAAAGGTTTTGGAGCAAACTAGATTACTAAGGAAGGGAAAAGGATAAAATAACAAAAGTATCCACGCAGCTACATTTTGCCTGGAAAAAGGCAAAATGCGTCCTCACTGGAAGGAAGACAAA